AGCATTTAATCATGTGATTTATGGTATATCACATAGAGCAGCTGATTGGTTAATGGTGGACAGTTACCAGATATGAGAATTGGTTACCTTTAAACGGAGAAAATAATTGATCAGCCATACAACGCCCTCTTGTAGTCATTTTTAGAAATACTTTTGAACCACATATACATACTAGATTAGCACAATCAATTATACCATTTTATACCTCTCGGTTCATGTGTTCAACATTGGCTGTGTTTTAAGGTGGCAGGATAGTATTTGTCATTTACTCAGGAAATATTGATGGCTAAAACCAAACTAATAATAGCCCCAATCTATCAAACCTATGTATTCTTAAGCATTTGGTCTACATTTTTGAAAAACATATTTTTTGTGTAGACTTTATTTAAGGATCACACGACTTAAATGAGTAACATAGACAAAAACACTAATATCATATCAATGGTTATTCTTGCTATAACAAAAATACAGCATTGTATATCACATAGTATAAATGAGTATTTTTATGTTCATTATCATTTATGTTCATATCATTTCTAAAATCATAACTATTTCTTCACAATTTTAGTGTTACCATGATGTCACAACTATTTTTCTGATAATGTTTTAAAAAATACTGGCGCTTCATCTTACAAAATTTGAATAAACCTTTGAAGCTAATATTCTTGTTGATTTAATTAAAGAAACTCAGGTCAAATGCGTTCTAAAAATATATAGGTTATGCTTACTATTGGTTCAGTTACTTCCATCAACATTTTCATAGCATTTTCTAGTTACAATACTATCCTGCTTCCTTACATCCTTCCGGCAAATTTAATACACATGGGTAGGGATTAATAAATTCTGATATAAATAAAAACAAAGGTATTACCTACCAAACCTGATCATTGAGGGCGCTTACAATTATCGTTTGATTCATTGAGGCAGGTTTACATCTCAAATTTGATGACCTGCTACACAACACTTACATTTGTGCGGGCATGTATGTCTGCTCCAAGCTTTATTAGCTCTTTGATAATTTCCATTTCCCCAAGTTGACTTGCCCACAGTAATGCAGTGAATCCCTTCTGTGAATACATAAAACAAAACTATCTTTCACAGTTCGTTCATTTTTTTTATTTATGAGCAGAAACCTATGTTATTGTTTCTGTTGAACATCAGGGTATGGTCCCATGCTTTTTATATCTTTTATATATTACCAAATAAAGAAAATCGAATACTTTGATGAATTTTACAAAATTAATATGGAACACTGGCTAAGCCTGGAGACTGCTGTTGGGAAGTGTGACTGCTTAGGAGGTCAAGGTTAGGGGGTCAAATGTGATGTGCTGGTTGCAAACATCATAATCAAATATGTAAATCATGTGACATAATTTCAATTGATACATTAAGTTAACATGACATACATCACTGAGGGTGTCATTTTCATTATACTATTTGCCAAAACTTTTAACGATTTTATTTACAGGCACGATATGTCACGAATTGGGATGGGGGAGACATTCCCTTGGTAATGTAATGAGTTATAAAAAAAACAAGAAATCTAAATTATTAGCGTGTAACACAAAAACAAAAACTGAAAAGTAATTTGGAAGAAGTTTACATTTATAGATGACACCAACAACTTACAATTGTGTTCACATATAACAAATCACCAATATTAGCTTTATATGTATATGTGACATTCCACAAGTCAGTTGTCTGCAACATCTGCAGTTGTCCTAACATATGCCACTGGTTCTCAAACACTGAACTAAATTAACTATAGCGTAAATGAGTTCTGGGGCATGGTAACCACATAGAAGAAATATCAACATTTTCCTATATTTTGTAAAACTTATACCGGTAGTCCTCTTTTTTTACGTGAACTTTATGAAGGTTGCGGAAAAATACTGACCCTTATTTTGAATTAAAACTCAGAGCTTTGTCCTTCCATTGCAGTCGAAATGTAAAATTAGGACCCTTTATTTTTATCAAAATGTTTAACATTGTTTAACTGTAGAATAGAGAATAATTGTGATGAGGGAAATATAGTCTGGATAAATTAGTTTTATTTGTCTCTGTAACATGAAAGTAACACTTACATCATCTCGAGCCTCTATAACCCAGCCTGCACTAGTAAGTATATTGATCACCTTGATATTACCACCTTCACATGCATTATGTAGTGCAGTCTTTTCATACTGTTGAAAGTGAACATGTAATAATTATATATATTTACAATCTGATACATATCACGCATACAACGGTGCAATACATCTGTCTTCACCAGCATTTAACGTACAATGTAGCATGGTTCTTAAATAAAGAAAATGTGGGTAAAGAGTCCAATATATAACCTTACCTGTTCTTTTATATTCTTAACAGCTCCATAGTTGACCAACACCTCAACAACGGAATCATATCCTTTCAAACAAGCCAGGTTTAATGGTGTATTGCGGTTCTATCAATATACAAGCAAACATTGTTTTTTTATTTTTCATATTCCAATTAATGCATGCAATTATGTTAATGTTAGGAGGTTGTTATCACTTTACTAGTGTAATAATTATAACATTACATGGATGCTCCCACACACTGTCATCATGAAAATCTTACGCCTATATGTGTGATGCCTTTGTTTAGAGAATAGCGCAGTCATCTAAATATCACATAACATAATGTTGTTGCATATGGTGAGTGCACCGGAATATAAACATCAGAATTGATATTGCTAAATTTAGTTTAATTTATCATCAGATTCTCAGTCAGGTGTAATTTAACATTCAAAACAAACCTCGTCCAGTGCATCGATTGAAGCACCACTTATACATAATCTCTTCACTTCTTCAACATTCCTTTGCAAGGCTGCAACGTGGAGTGGAGTCTACAGAAAGAAAATAAACACGCTGAATATAAATAGTTTATGGTTGTTTGTGATTACAATTGTGATTGGGAAATGCTTACATGGTTTGATTATGGTTATAGTCACTATCAATGGATAGTTGGTTAGATAGACATTATAGACTAGTTGGAAAAGTTTGCAAAGTTTGTTAATATAAGAAATATGTAAATTAAAATAATTGTGTTATAATATTTGTTCATTACAATGTACGAGAAATATTTATGTGCCAATCCATACACTAAGAACTTGGTAAATGTCGTTAATTGTTAATCATCTAACAGAATGAAGAAGCTGCTATGAAGATACACAAACAAATTATATATTCGATTAAATAATTAATAAGTACGGATTTGTACATGAAAACTAACCAAGTATGTGCATGAATATGCATGAGATGAAAATACAGAAATTTACCAGATACACATCAATATACCCAAGTTGCATTCGATACAAAACATATATTGATTTGTATACAGTCAGATTCATTTCATTAATTTTATGATTCAAGATCAATTAATGATTTGACAAACAGTGGAAATGCATTCAACTATTTTTAGTATTCATTATTATAGTGCAGGACACGGTTTTTATTTTTATCCTTTACAATACAAACAATCACCTATGCTTCCACCCAGTTATCTTGCCAAAGTAGCAATAATTGTATCACTATGTCATTTCAGTAGCACCATTTCACTCAGCCCATAAATCTGGGACACTATCCAATGTACCAATTCCAATATTTATGTGCTATCTAATAATTTCTCCGGGCTTAGCCCAGTAATTTATCAACTACTAGTATAATAGTAGATATACAGTTGTAGGTGGCTTACAGTCCAACATAGAAATGATGTACCAGTCATTATAATGACACGTCAATGTCATAAAACATTAAACAAACCTAAATCATACAAATCCATGTTAGCATAATGTTCTATGTATATATCGAATATGAATCTGTCTTTTATACGCCGTGCTTCGTTTACGAAATATCAGAGATGCATGGTGGTTGTTACAATAACATTAAAGTGACGTACATTAAGATGTACATAATGTATAATATATGTTCCAAATGACATACAATCTGTTCATACACGACCAAGATCAGATTCACAAATAACCGAAATACATTCAGCCATCTTGAATTCCGTTGAGAAACGATAAACGTACTATGTAACATAATATATATATGAATTTTGAATGTGAAATGAAAGGTGTCAGATGTGGCTCCGGAACAACATTTTTGAAAAACAAACGACCACCAATTGGCTATTGTATGTAACGTGACTGAATGTATGTAACATGACTTGGCTACCTCCATGGCTAAACGTACATGTTTTGGCTAAACGTATGTAACGACACTGAACGTATGTACCGGTAAGTGACTTGGCTGAAAGTACATGTTTTGGCTAAACGTAAGTTACACGTAAGTGTACGTGACACATGGCTAAACGTATGATTGACGGAAATAAATGGACAGTTCTC